ATATAAGGAAATAAATAAACAAAACGACGTAGTTTTGGAGTAGCCGGAGATAAACTTATCTCAAGCTGCTTGAGAAATGTATTTCCATATATATATATTTCTTTGGGAAGTTTTAATCATATATATATATTTTAATTTTATCATTACTTATTTGTATTTTTATTATAAGAAAATAAAAACATTAATAAAATAAAATAAATAAATATTTAACAAAAAATAATTTAATTAAATGTAATTATATTTTATTGAAATTAAGATTATTAAAAAATTACAATCCTTGTGTATTATATTAAACCACATATAATTTTTAAAACATAATAATTAATAAAAAAATTATTAGAGATCTAAGTTTAACTCTTAATTGGTTTTGTAAAAAAATAATTTAACTCAAAAGTTTAAGTTGACGGGTGAGGACTTTTTAATGATTTATACTATTTTTTAATACGCTTCTTCACACGAGAGTTCATTGGGCTTGAAGGGAAGATGATATATAAGACCCAGCATATCTATGTTAAAAAATTTCACAAAAGAAAGTGAAGTAGTAAAGATCAAACTTGTTATAACGAAACTTTGATACTATATACATAGAATTTTTTAATGAATTATACTATGTTTAAATATGTATTAAAACAATAAATAACTCAAACTCTAGATAGTAATTTAGTAAAGCAATATTCATTAGACCTCGAGATTATTTATTGTAAATCGGGACTATCATTTTTTAGGTGGTCCTTTAGTGTAAATAGGAAGATAAAATTGAAAAAGAGAGAAAATAACAAAAATAAAAAAGAAAAAAATATTAATAATGTAAGAAAGTGCACCAAAAAATTTCAGTGGTCCTGGATCATATTAAATATTTCCTTAAACCCCTCGCTAGCAACAGCGTGTCATTGTTCCTTGTGCAAAAGGGACTCTGTCAAAATAGCAACAGTGTATCATTATTACTTACACTCCCGCAATCTTCCGTTCCAACCCTTGGGCTTCACTGGGAATTCGTGCCCATACTTGGGCTCAAGGATGTATAGGCCCCAATAGGTTCAATTTCTTTTTTGGAGTTACTTAACCTAATTATCTCTTTGAGACGAGTTGGCTTTCTCCGGTATCTCCACGAGCTTCGACTCTTTGAACCGGCTATGGGACTAATTCGGAGTGCGGGAGAACAGCGATGAGCGTTTGGTATGCGGGATTTTGAGAGATTCCCGGGAAACTGAATTTTTCTAAATTTTAAATTTTCAGATATTATCGTAAATTGAATGCAAAAATCATATTTTTGAAAATCGAGATTCCCGGACAAATAAAAATTTCTCATGTACCAAACGCCCCCTAAAGGTTCAGGCCCTTCCTTAAGAATGCATTCAGCGGGAATCGATCCCTAGTCTCCACCCTGATGTTGTGGAAAAAAAAAAAAAACCTACACTCTTTTATACCTTACCTGAAATTTCATTTTTTTTTTGTAAATTATATGATATTATAAATTACACCAAAAACTTAATAATATGAAATAAAAAGTTTCCTTTGAATAATTCTTTTTGTCTGAAGAATAATAGTTGAGTTAGTATTTTCAGGATTTGGGTGTTAAATTTGTATGGGTCCAAAAGGGAGAAGCCCAAGGCCATTTCGGATTCTGTGTTGCTAGGCCGAACTGAAGTGACTCGTGGATTAGGGTTAAGGGTTTCGAGCCGCGAGGAGTGTCAATCAGCTTTAAATAGGAGCCTCCTCTTTTTCATTTTAATTCGCAAGCCATCTACGACACGAAGGCGGCGTTCGAATCCATTGATGATTCCTTCTCTTCCTCTAATTTCATATTTACATCTCTTGTCTTTCATCTTTAGCGATGTGTGCAGTTGAATTAGAAGTTTCAGATCTCTTTTCGATGCTTGCGTTGTTTGTTCACTGGTTTTTTTTTAGAGAAAAGGGGCTGTTTGCGATGATTATAAATAATTCCTCGTTCTGAATGCTATTGCCATGGCATGACAGACACGTTTACACCCATAGAATATGAGCATCGCCCCCTTTTACAATTATTTTTTCTTTTTTGTGATTGAAGGTTTTCCATCGATTTTTTTGGCATTGCGTTTTGTCTGGCTCTTCCTTGATCACTTTGACACGTCAGTGGAAAGTTAAAAAAGGGAGTTGATCCATAATTTGCAGAGCATTCTTTTGACATCATGACTGCTTTGTGTTTAGCCAACTCCTCAGATTGATTTTGAGCGGTGTTTAAAGCCCTGACCCAAATTCAATGAGTTTGGGGTTACGCACACCGCTACATCCTATACGAAATACTAGGACATTGTTTTCTACCGGGGAATTAGTTTAATATTCTTTTGATCCAGTTTAAAAATATCAGCGACCTATATGAAATGGTTTTGCTCACCCCTCTAATTTGAGAACTATCGGTAAATGAAATTACTCCTTATTCATATTCAGTTTAATCACTTCACTCTTTATAGGTTTTTCCCTTGCTGAGTTTATCAACTGTATTGGAACATATGAAGTAATGTTTTATGCAGATGGAACTTTTTGATTGAATCACATTTGTTTGGCCCCAAACGTTCTAGCAATTAGTTGCCGTAAATGCACCCTAAAAGACCGAAACACTAAATATCAAGGATACGTTAAGCAATGTGAGCACGTCTTGAAAACTCTTATATTTACTTAATATTTTTAGATCAGCAATGAGATTAATATAAACAATGATTCAAGCTCCCGAAACAGAAATGAATTACGCGGCGGATTCAGGGTGGGGAGTGGCCTGAACTTCACGGATTTCCGAATTTTGACCTTACAAACTAATTTGGCTATGCCATTGACGAAGTATAGCATCTTATTCCAGCATAGAATTCCTGCCTTATAGTTAAGGGTAAACTTTGTTGGACTCCAAGTTATTTGCGCTCGGTTGGACTATAAAAATTTGACCTGACATGTTTTCTAGTCTAATTTAGATTGATTTTATTGTCAAAAAATGTTTTTACGAAAGCAAGTTTAAGTTATTGAGAAAAATGTATGATTTTATTATATATCTGCCATGTTTTATATCACTTGGTCTTGAAGTATGGTTTTATTATAACTTCAACATGCCTTAAACCACTTGGTTTCGAACCAGAAATATATCTCTCTAATACTAACACTTTCAAATGCTTTGGTTTCACATGTATCAATCAATTATTGCCTTTAGTACATTTAAATGTGTGTAGTGGAAAAATTTATAAAAATACGCTTGTAAATTTGACACAGTAACAAACTAATTAAGAGATAATAAAAGTATCGATATTACAATAACTACAATAATTTATTACCACACTTTTTTTTTTTTTTGGAGTTAACCTAACTCTAATTACTTCTTTGAGATGAGTGGCTCTCACCGTATCCTAAAAGCTTCGACTCTTTGAGCCGACTATGGGACTAATTCGGAGTATGAAGCGGCAACTATGAGACTAATTCGGAGTATGGAGCGGGTTAGGGATGAAGATATTTAAATCCTCCCAAAAGTGGCATGAGGTCCTTTTCACTTACTCAGCTTCTTGCTATCAATTGAACTACTACCATTTGGTATTTATTACCACACTATGTCATATAGAATAAACAATTGCACTATCCATTAAAAATAATGATTTATAATTATTATTATTTTAAAAATACTTATCAAAATGAACTGAAATGTTATTCTATTTCATATTTATAAATTACTTTTATTTTAGAGGAAAAGAATTAGAAGAATTTTTTCTCCTATTATAGACACAAGATGTGATGGGGCCTATCATTCATTAAAAAAAAAGAAAAAATTGTTACAAAATTCAATATCTCACAAGTAAGAGAAAGAATTCTCGTATAACGTGAAAAAAAAAACCCTTTATTTTAACCTTAATCCTGAGTTGTAATGATAGAACCATTTGAATAAATTCTACTGATTGAGAAGTAATAAACATACGAGTGCACTGCCGACAAACGGGTCACAAAGTGGCCTATCCTTCATTATCTGCCCTCCTTATGGATTTTCCTAAGGCCCAATTTTGTTGTGGGTCATTCTTTAAAAAAATATTTGAATACTATTATAATTCTATTAAATTTATGCATATATTCAGTAGAAATATACTTTTGATTCATTTATACTAATAATATTGACATAAGAAGCATCAATAATTCTATAAATATTAGAAATGTCGTTAAAAAAAAAGTTACCAAAATTTAATTAAGGATGTTTTAAAAGTTCAAATTAAATTAAGACCATAGTTACATAACTATAAGTGTAATAAATTCAAAAAATAAAACTAAAAGTAGTGTTCCAAAAATTGCCAATTCTTTCCCAAAGATAGTTGAGAATTGGAATAACTAAGGAAGAACAAGAACGACTAGTTCAAAGGAAAAAGGAATCAGCATTAAATACAAAAAGACGACAAAATTTGTGTTAATTGCACATAATGTTTCTATGTTCGTGTTGTCCTACAATTTGGTAACACTCATTAATATTTACTGCTACGTCACGCAATCAGAGTCCCAACATGACCCAAACCTACCATCTCCTAAAAAAACCAAGACCACAGACCAACCAAATTCAGTACCCTGATTCATGAATACAAATTTGCCAAAACGCGCACGGAACAGAAGACATTGTTAGGTGAGGGTCTTTTTAATGATTTTATATTATTCTTTAACACATCCCCTCACACAAGAACCCTTTAGGCTTGAAGTGTGGATATTGCACAGGCCCAATTTTTGGTTTACCTTTTTGTGCTTTTTTTTATATTTAATTCCACAAATGGGGGCGATGAGGATCGAACTCGTAACCTTATGGTCACTGAAGCTCTGATACCATGTAAAGAACCACTCCAACCCAAAACCTTAAGGTGTTAGGTGAGGATCTTTTTAATGATTTTATATTATTCTCTAACAGACATGAACAAGATCAAAGTAAAGCAAAACCTACACAACCAAATTATGAGGGTAAGATCCTAGATCCTGAACAGAATTTTCCAAACTCTAAGATTACCATATTAGGGGCAGCAACAAAAACTGAACATATAAATAAAGTCAGCACAGAAAAAGTTGTTTCTCCTTCAACTCCACGGGCTTTCATCATTAAAGGGGAAGGAGCTTCTATAGAGTTGAACTGAGGAGGTTATTGGACTTGTTGCACAAGCTAGCTCATTCTTGAGTCTTATTCTCTGCCCTTGGACTACTCCCAGCACTGCTATTGGATAGAGATACTGATACAAATGCTGTCTTTTGCAAAACCCCAGTGGGAGAAGACCCTAATGAAAGGCTATTGTCCCATCCATCAGTCATGAGGTTGAGAGCAGAGGAGTTCTTGACACAATGATCACTTGCATTGTTATTGCTAAGATTCAGAACCTCTCCAAGAGGACCACCCATAGAACTCCCCCAAGAAATTGGAATCCAATTAGCCTGTCTACTGTTTGACTCGTTGATAGCATTTCCAACACCCAAACCCATTTGAATTGGGTCTAACTCCCTTGATAGCCGAAGAGGCGACAATGTGACTTGATCATTGGTGGGAGAGGAAGTAGCTGACATGAAGTCTGTGGAAATCATTGGGATTGAAATTGATAATTCGGTCCTCTCTGATTGTATGTCAAGCTCAGGCCACGAAACACCTGAGCGATCATTAGACTGAGTTTTGGGCCAGTCATCAATGAAATGCCTAAGGGAATGTTGCGAACCAGTTTCTTCGTTAGTTTGGTTTTGTGTAGAACCGAAGCTTCTGCTGCTTAGCAAGGTGGAACTTTTCTGCGAAGGGTTAAGTAGAGAATCAGAAGGGACAAGCCCAAACTCATTCCTTGAGGATTCTTCATATCGAATTTGCTGTTTATGAATTATAAAAGGGTTTTCCTTTGGGGGGAGCATTGGAAGGGCATCAGTGTCTGCGATTCTCTCGCTCCCATTATCCTTGTTATTCATAAACATCCTGCACCAAGCAAGGAAAAATTACCATTTAAACGGAGCTGGCATAAAATGACCAACACAAAACAACAAGTACATTTCCTAATTTATAACACCCTTTTCCTTCTTTTTTTTGGATATAAGCTAGAGGTATCCTCATTCAACATTCGAAAAGAGAGGCACGTCTCTTGGGACAGGTTTTGAACCTTTGTCTCAAGCAAACCGTTGGAGCTCAATTGCCAACTGAGCTACTCTCGTGAATTTACACCCTTTCCCTTTCAAGGGAGAGAAAGCAACAAATTTTTTGACACGCCTAAGACCATATTTTCCTAAAAGGAATCTCAACTAATATTATTAATGACCAGTCACTACTAGCCCTTAAAAATGATATCAAGAAGCTAAAAGAACTTTTTTTCTTTTCTTTTCTTTGTCACCTGTTGATGTTGTTAGGCGCAGAAGTATCAGATGCAAGAGGGTGAATATTCTTGGGTTCCTGTTGTGAAAAGGTGAGGCTGTTGGATGCAGTGCATCCGGGCACCACTAGGGAGGAAGCATTGTTACTAGTCATGATGAGGTTTGAAGCGGTGGTGGTGGCATTTGTAGGAGTTTCCACAGGCTTTCTTGAACGATGACGTCCTCTGTTCATGTGCCGCTCGCAATACTTCTGATCCACAACGGCATCTCTCGAGCACCGCCATTTCTTCCCATCTGTTCTCCTACACCTTCCTGGCTCAGGATCGGTGTTGTTCGAGAACCCCAGATGGAAACCTCCCCATCCCACTGCAACATAACATAACAAAACATCCAAATATATTTTATTTTTTTTAACTTGTTTCCTTAAAAGTTTCATAGTAATCAACAATTTGTAACAAAAAGTAGAAATCAACAACATTTTTTTTCCTTTTTAAAATTCACTTCATGGACATTGAAAACACTTCAAAAAGGGAGAGGGTTGAAAATGTAATCTTGTGAATCTGAAGACTCCGGATTTATTATTAGGCCAGCGGCCAGCCATATAGGAACTTACTGGCATTGGGTCTCAAAAGACCGTTTGAAAAGTTACAGAATCCGGCAGATTCAAGCGCTTTCTTGATGGGGATGAGAAGATGAGATGGTACAGGAACATTTGATGTTAAGTACTTGTAGATCAGGGCCTGCTGTTCTAGCTCCATCCACTGGGATGGAGTGAATGGCTCTCTTGTCCCCGCTAAAACCCCATGCATGCTTCCAGAACTGTAACCTGTAGATAACCCACAAGATAAGGTCCAACTGGGTAAGAAATGGGAACATATAAAAAAAAATTGTATATAGAGACAGGGTTTGATATTTTTGTAGCAGATAACATATACGATATTGATACTAACGAATGAGAATATATAATTATAATATTAATATTACTATTTTTTTTTCAAAAAAAATTCAGAAAAAAGTTAATAACCAATGGTAATTAAAAAAAATAATGGATTGATAGTGAAAAAAATAATAATATGAATATTCACCCTCTAAACAAAAAAGCGTGAGATCAAAAAAGAAAACAAAATACAAATCCTACATATCTCCTTATATTAAACATATATATATGTTTGATTTTTCTATATATATATATATATATATATATATATGGAAATACTATTCTAATTTACGTGAGATAGTTATCTCATTTTTTTCTCACTTTGAAAATTGTACTTCTTTTTTTTAATGATAGAACCCACTTGAATTCTCTCTATAGCATGAGAGAACTATCTCATGTGACATGAGAATAATATTCTCCATATATATATATATATATATATATATATATAAAGCCATTTCATAACGGAATGCAAATTTAAACTAAAAAAAAAACTTAATTCTTCTGAGCTTAAAAGAAAATAAGGGAGGAACAGCGAAAAGAGCCTGGCAGAAGACGGAGGTGTAAATTAATGGCGTGGAACATTTAAGAAGACTACAATAATAACATGATTTTTCCTCCTTTGATTGAAAAAATAACAGTCAACTTTGCGAAGATGGAAAAGGCAAGATAGGTTTTAGAGAAATATAGTGCAGGACCAATCAAAATTTGGAGCTTTTTCTAGCTCCAATAGCTCTAACCTGGTTTCATATATTTTTCTCCTTTGGTATCCCCTACTTCACTGTGCAAAATTTTACTAAAACCCGTCCACCTAAAACGGAAAGACAGATATTTTGGAAGGAATTTTTTTTTTTTCACTTTTCACTTGACATGACTCAAAAACGGAGACCACTAGTATATTTCCATGAAAAGACCCTCTAGCGGTCCTGTAGAATCAGACCACAACAACGGATGCCGTTTTCCAAAACCCACAAACAAACATTCAACGTAATCCAAAACTTAGCAACCCAATAATCCAAATCCAACACCCCAGGTTTCAGTTAACTCCTCCAATGTCCCTTTTTTTTTCTCTTTTCTGTTAAAAAATTGTGCTTTATTATTATTACCCATCTCTTCCCTCAAAAAACAAACGAGCTGAAAATGCTATTGCTATATATACCTGTATTCTTGTTGTAACTAGATAATGGGTGGAAAGAATATGGAAATGTGGCATTCGGGGAGGTCTTGTCAACAAACAAAGGTTCTGATTTTGGAGAAGAGAAGCTCAGCATTTGCTGTTGGGGCTGACCATCAGAAAAGAGAATACCATTAGATCTCAGTAAAGAGTTTCTGTGATGAAACAACATTGCTTTGGAGGCAGAGATATCATCAGTCTTAGCCAGTTTGGAGCTCCTCCAGTCATCTTCAGTGGTGCCAGATCTTTCCTGCTTAAGGAACCCATATCCGTACCACTTGTGCTTTGTTTCAGGATCTGTAGCAAGAGAAACAAATCCAGTGTCTGAACCTACCAACCTATCCAAACCCACCGCCCCAAGATCCATAAAGAAAAGAAAATGCGCACAAAGAACTAGACTAGCATTAAGGTGGCCAAATGGGGTATTTATTTATGGGACAGCAAGAGTACACAAGCTCCCGTTGGATAAGGGAGGTGCATCATAGGGAGTTATTGAAATAGAAATAGCTGATATGCATGACACCTTAAAGCTCAGCTGAAACTGGAAACCGGACTGGTTTTGTTTTGAGAGTTGATGTCTTTGACAAAGATAAAATAATTGGAGAGAGAGATAAACTGGTGGGGAAAGAAACTGACCGGACAAAGTTTATATATCGGGCGTACTATACAAAAATATCAATTTTATATACATTGGCAAATTTCATGACATTAGAATTTAGTATATCTTTTTTATATAAATGAAAATTAAACACGATGTAATATAATTTATTTAAATTTTTCACCACTAAACGAAATTTAGTGACTTAATTTAGTAGACTATTACATGAGAAATATGTTTCTTTTATTTGAGATAATTTTATTTCATATAACATATAAATACAATTAAGTGAGTGAGATTCATTAAAAAAAAAAATACTCTGGCTCGAATTTTTCAAAGTGCATTTATGGAAACCTACATAAAAACCTTGAAACGTAGCCGGGCTCCGAAGGACGGGAATGTCATTTTAAGAAAATGCCTAGTTACCAGAAGTTCGTCGTTGGACAAATTTTTTTGTTGGGACTCAAATTCTTATTTTTCATTTTTAACTATAAGAATAAAAAATATTATACTTGAGATTCTTACCTTACAACTGAATAAAATTTGATACATTAAAAGAAGGTAGATAGGAACATTAAAAGAAGAGTCGGTATTAAATTAGTAATAATAGTAGTAGTAGTAGTATTAGTTCCTAAAACAATTTTAATTGAAAAAAATTGTATTTTAGTGATGAGTATTTCTTTAATTAATAGTAATTAATTAATAATACGGTCAACAAAAAGTTATGGTTGGCTGCTTGATCAAAGATGCACCGCCACGTGACACGGTCGCAACTCTAAAAATAACTCTACCTCATCTCTGTCCTATTCTCATCTCAGTTATCATTTCTGAGCCATATACGAGAACAGCTTCTCTCTCGGTCCAGGACAATAAATATTCGTAAGAGGATTATGGTATATACTATGTACCGTTCCGTTACATTATGATATGATATGCATGTGTATATGTACAAAGTATATAAGATCTTTCTTTTCGTCTACTTTCTTCACTGGCCAAGGGCAGAACTTGAAGGCAAAGATATAACAGTCCAATACTATTTTATTCTCATTTATAGTCTACAATATCTTTTTTTATTTCTAAAATAAGTTAATTCTGGCTTTTTATTTATGAATACCTTCCCTATCCATTTTTTGTTGACCGTAGATTCTTAATTAAATAACCGTTTCATCGAGAAAGTCGTCCTTCGTGTTCACAAAATTAAAGGGCTACGGTACGATTTTCTTTGCTGCCCCGACGGGTTCGTATTCTAACATAATTATTAGGGAAGAGGAAGACAAGCTAAGGTAAGTTTTCTTAAAATTTTCTCATCTAAGTGCATGTAGCAATTTCCATTCTCCTCATTTGATTGAAGGATTCCATTACTTTTAGCCATCAAACACACTTTGCTATCTAAGTACAAAAGCATGTTAAAATTGAATAAATTCACTGTTGAATAATGCTTCTACAGACGTGGTATTTCTTGTCAAAATCTGGAGAAATGAAAAAGTGGATAAATACAATGACAATAATACCCCTCTTTTTATACGTTGTAATGGTTCAAAATTTTATAAAAAGGTTACTTTCGTAAATTTCATCCATTTTCCCATCAATTTTTATTTTCAACCAAACATACACTCAGCATATTTAACTCAATTTCCCTACTAATATTTTACGGTACCAAACAATTTTTTTAAAATTTTCCTACCAAACTCACTTTCCAACCATTTTTCTATCAATTAGGGTGTGTTTGGTTGGAGGATTTTTTTGAGATGCATAGGCATTTGAGAAGTAGGAATATTGAATGTCCCTGTTTGGTTAAAGCTTTTGAAGATATGCCTACCTAAATAGAAAAGCCAGCTTAACCATTTGCATGTCTATATGATGAAAATAGCAGGCAAAATTTTCCCATTTGCAATGTGGTATTACATGTTATCTAGCTAAATCATCATAGTGGGAAAGAATCAGATGATCAGCCTACCCTCCTATTATTTCGTCTGGGTTTTGAAATTCAGAAATTCGAAAACGAGTTCACTCAACTTTCGTCTGGGTTTTGAAGCTTTTATCATCCATGAATGATTCTCGCCTTGCCATGATTGCTCACTTTCACTCAAATAAAATCGACACAACAACTTGCGAATACAGAAGTGCGAAAACTCAGAATTTTGCGAATAATCTGTTGGTATCTGTGTTTAGTGTCTAATGGGTGTGATCCAGATTGTTGCTGTTTTTCTTTCAACAAGTTATTGATCTACAAAGTTAACTTGTAACATTGTTTGCCTTTGATTTGTTGCGATTGGATCTTGCCCAAGCTAATTTGCTATTTAGACATGTCAACATCTAATAAACCTGAAGTAATCAAAAGGGATGCTAAGGATGAAAAGAAAAAGGAAGATGATGGAAAGGGTGGATTCCTTGATACGGTAACTGCAGATGGTGAGAAGATTGAGGAAGCAATTGGATTTGGAAAGCCAACTCCAGAGGGATACACATTACAAAAAACTAACAGGGATATTTTTGTAATAGCAACTTTTTTTTCCATCTATATTTTACCTACAACCAAACATAGACTTTAAAAGTTACCTAACTTTCCCAGTTAAATTTTTTCAACCAAACAACTTTTTTTTATATTTTCCTACCAAACTCACTTTCCTACCATTTTCCTATGAATATCATTTTCCTATTATTCATAAAATTTCTCCTCAACCAAACGCCCCCTTACATTTTCCTAGTATTCAAAAAAATGTTCCTCAACCAAACGCCCCCTAAAGACAGATAGATACCAATTGTTTTGGTGTTAGAGGAAAAATAATTGTACGCATAGAATATATCCAACTGGGTTTTTTTTTTCAAAAGAAAAAAAAATTCTATATGGCCGTTAAAAAAAGAAAATTTTAAAAATTAAAATATGAAAAAAGAAAATACCTACTTAAATATTTTAGTAGTACCAAAGTTTTGTCCGTGTTAGAGGGTCAAATAAAACGGAATGGCATGGGCCACATTCTTGGGTCATTGCTGTCTAATGAATTTTGTCCCTTATACAGTATAGCAATACATGTGTTACAATATTTGGGAGATTACGGTAATTGAAATCAAAAGCACATGATCAGGATCATCCGTATTAGTAATAATAATATAGAACAGAAATACGGACCACATGACCTCCTCTCTCTCTCTCTATATATATATATATATATATATGGAAAAAATATTTTCGCAGTTAATGCAGAGAAATTATCTGTATTTATTTTCAAAACGACGTCATTTTGGTATTGAAATCTTAAAAAATTATAAATATAAAGACTGTTATAATCCTAAAATAAATTAAAATTACAAAAACACTATGATTTTCGTCCTAAAACGACGTCGTCTTGGCTTACTGCAGATAACTTATTTGCAGTAAAAGCGAACCATATATATATATAGGGTTTTATAATTCTCGTTCAACATGAGAATTCAAATTTTCCTACACACCCTTCGATTCCCGTGTTAACATGGATCCTATATAAAAAAATTTCTAACAAATGGGTCCTACATGTTTTTTATCTCTACAACATGATAATTGAATTCTCATTTAACATGAGAAAATTAAACCCCATATATATATATATATATATGACCATCCTATGTAAAATACATATAGTGCTTTTTGTCATCTTGTATAAATTTTCTTTTAATAGCAAGCTTCAATTAATCTCCGATTTTTTAAAAGTCGAATTGACCAATAGATACACATCAATGCCATGGCATGTTTAAGACACGTGAGGAATCAATATAAATCAAAACAGTCTCTGATGGTTCATTTATCTTACTCCTCCCTTCATTTTTGTTCCTACCCCGTATTAAAAGAGAGTTAAAACAACTTTTTAGTGGAATCAATTTCTCTTATTGTTTTATCACCAAAAAAAAAAAATTCTCTTATTGTTTAAAATTTCAGACAAATAATATAAAAATGATTTGATTTTTATTGGTTTTCCTTTATTAATAGAACATATATATTATCATTGTAAACTCTTGTTTAGTGCCAAAAATAAATTTAAAAGGAGACAATTTTCCTTTTTCATGAACTTTCAAATACCCAATATATAAAAGGGAAGAAAGACGAGAGGCAGAAGATATTAAATGGTTAAGAATGTTTGGAGGTGACATTGCTTTCTTGTGTCCTTTTTTAGGGTGCGTTTGGTTGAGGAGAATTTTTTTGAATACTAGGGAAATGTAATTGATAGGAAAATGGTAGGAAAGTGAGTTTGGTAGGAAACTGTAAAAAAAGTTGTTTGGTTGGAACAAATTTTACCAGGCAAATTGATTAAAATTTTTGATATGTATGTTTGGTTAAAGATAAAATATTGATGGGTAAATAATATAAATTTATAGATATATCCCCACTGAAACACATGGCTCGTAGCTTGCCGCGTGAAGAAGACACTCTCCATCCCCTCTTTCTCACAGCCACTCTCGAACCAAAAAAGACCACCAACAAAACAAAAGGTAATTGAAAGAACAATAATAACAAGAATCAGTATCATCAGAAATTTACCCAGAACAATGTTCTCTCTCTACACTTTTCTTGCTTTTTCTCTCGTTTTCTTTGACCTGTGAATCTTTCTTTTTCATCAATGACAATTTATTTATGTTCTCCGAATTCTCAGGTATTTTTGCCGTGGCCGAAATTCGTTGCAATGAAGGTAGCGGTTTTGATGTTGAAGTGAAGGGTCGTTACCAAGGCAGGACAGGTGAACTGCGTAAGGTTCGTGAAGAAACCATTCGCACGGGTATATGGTCGCATGGTAGGGAA